AGATGGACCAATGGGAGCGAATGTGATTAAAAGGACTGACATTTATATTGTGTTACAATTTAAGAGAGAACTTTTACAAAATGAGGTACTATTGGTATATGACACTAGAGAAATTACCCAAGATGTATAAAGTACTTCTAATCAGCTTTGGAAATGTGAAAAACAAGATGGGTCATTTTACCATGCATGGCAGACTTGAAAAAAGCAAAAAAGTATGGGATACAAAAACATATAATGATGCAAAGCATTTTAAAGACTAATAGAGAAAACCAGAACTTTTTTTACTGGGACGATGGATAACCAATTAGAAAAGACCTATGGAAGATGGGTTTTGTACATGGTAACTGCAGTTAGACTATTATATACATAAATATGGAAAAATATTGAAATATCAAGAATGGAGGAATGGATTGTGAAGATGACAGAATTTGCAGAAATTGCAAAATTGACCTGTTTGATCAGGGATGAAACAACAACCTTTTAAGTAAAGACTGGAAGGCTCTTATGGACTTTTTGCTGAAATTGGAAAAAAATGAACCGGTGATTTATGGATTTGCTGATTAAAAAGGGTTGAATATGGGAAGAAGGGAATTATGATCTTTAAAAGAGGGAGGAGAGATAAGAAATTTGTAATTGCTATAAAGAAGATAGGAAGTCGCTTCTTTATATAACTTTAGTTTTTTTCTATTTGTACTATTTTTCACACTTTTCTTATCTATTTCTTTTTCTTTAATCTTATTTTATATAATTTTATGTTTATCTTTTACTACTGTGAAAATCTTTAATAAAAATTATTAAAAAATAAATATAAAAATGGGTACATTGGCCCAATGTTATGATAAAGATCAAACTATCCGCCATGTCACTGAGCTAATAATATTTTGGCTTCAGAGAATGTTTCTGAAGGTTTTTCTGTTTCCTAACACCTCCACTACAGACAGATAATTCTATATCAATCAGATCCTTTGTTGTTGCTGTTGAGGTTAATCAAATTATCTCTGCATGAGCCACTGTTCTTGTAATCAAAAGACAAGCACGCTGAGTTACAGAGATATTTTTCTTTTGGTTCTGAAACTGCTCGGTGGCATTTAAAATGAACAGTAGCATGCAAATTCAATTATTATTTTAACTGATGATGATGGCAATGATAAGGAGGAGGAAGGGAAGAAATCTACACCTCTCCAGATGTTCAGGATTCCAACTCTGTTGGTCCTAGTCAGCAAGGCCTATGTTCA